ACTTCTGTGTTTATCTGAGAAAACTAATCTTACCGAAATATGAATATTCCATACAAGCTAAAGTTGATCGTTAAATTCTTGTTACGTGACTCGCGGTGAGTGCACGCCGTGGAAACAACAAACTTGTTCAAACTCTAGAAAGGCTGATATGTGAATGACCCCTAAAAGGCCGCCGTCATTTGCCATCTCTATCAGCTGATCTTCTTGCACAAACATGCTGGATTCACCTGATTTGTTGACAACTGGGTTGCGAATCCATACCTTGGCAGTTTGCAGGGCCTTTACTGGGTCTTAGCAACGACACTTTCTAAAAACGCCTTTTACTTACTTATTTTGCTTCTTGTGAGTTAAATTTGGGCGAGTTGTAAGCAAGAGAGTATGGTCATTTTTCATAATAAAAGACTTTTTATTTTTAAATAAAAAATCAATCAGATGCAAATAATAAATAAAATGAAAATAGTTAATGATTTCTTGTGCAGCCTGGTACCAATTAATCCACGAATCGGTGGTTGAGGAATAATTTCCTTGCCAAAAATGTGTAAAAAATATCTATAGAATTATGCAGGATGGTTAACACATAAAATAAAAATAAAAACTTTTATTTTAGGTTTGCAATCAAAGTCCAGTTAGAACCAATTATTTGATAAATTAAGCTGCAGCAGGTCTCATATTATATATCCATTACAAATTTGCAAACTCTAAAAAATGTTTTCAGTTTTTATCATGTTTTTGACCAAAATCAGCATTTTACAAAGATGTTTAAATGATATCTGTCAACACTGGAGTCAAATAAATACATTAGACATGTATAAACATTTGAACAGTTGGACCAGCTGTTATGTATTAATCAACGTAATATGATTTATTGTGTATATTGAAGACTCTTGTGATTATGCTACTAGAAGAGTTAAGCAGTTTGATGGCGTGATTTTAGACAATTGTTATTCACCTTCTGATTGGTGGAAGGAGGGGCATGTTTGCATGTGCTGAAATCATGACCATGAGAGCCTCCATGCTGGTTTTGAAAAGCTCTTTAACACGTATTAGAGCGCCATGCGGCCGTTAATTTAGCTTCACGTATTAAAGAATAATTAAGATGAACATCTCTAATCAAGCACAAAGATGACCCTCACTCCAATTCGAACTTGAAATTGGATTGGTTGCCTTTGAATGTCATTTCTGGCTATGAACTCATGCTTAAAGGGTTGCTTGATACAGCATGTCTGCCCCAGAGGCCTGTCCCATTGTACGCGCAGGTAAATGATTATGGATTTCAGTGTCCAGACTCAGATTTAGACAATTACAGCTGACGCGGTGAGCTGAATAAATATGAGGCTCAATTTTGAAAATGTCCATTCCTGTCTCTTTCAAGGAAAATAAGCTGAATGGTGGTGTTTTTGAGAGGTTTTTTGACTTATTCTTTCTGGAAACACTCAAAATGCATTAATCACAGGTGTTAATATAAAAAATGTAATCATCACATACAGTATGACTCATGTTATTTCAACTTAATTTAGGCAAATGGAATCCCAGAGCCGTTTTAAATAGAGATCAAATAGCATTTCTTTCAATTTATCTAGTTTAACATCTACACAAATGACTCTTTTAAGACAATTAATTGTAATCATTCATTTGGATGACCAGATGTTTCAGTTCATAACTACTTTGATATTTATAGTTTTTAGGAGTGGGAAAGTAAAATCAAACTGATCTCAGAACTGGCAGTTCACTGAGTTCTCATTGAGTGAACCAAAACTCAAAATCTTAATTGAAACTCATCAGAATCTCCAAAATAGGTGAAGATTAAAACCTTACGAGTCTGTGTCTTTACATAAAACACCTCATCATTTACCCCTCTAAATCCTATCCCACGCAAAGCATCACAGGAATTAACCATCGACTAGACAGTGGTTGTGTCCGATATCGGCTACTACTCAGTAGGTACTGCATTTGAATTTACTACTCGGCCGTTATAGAGTATGAATTTGAGCAGTATGAATGGAACTCGGACATACTTCATCTCCATTTTGTCATCATCGCTTGACCTTCCCGTGACAATTACGTTGCTTCACTCCCATTCATAAATTCTCTTGCGTGCATCATGGGATAGCATAGCATCCATGCGATGTGCACTTTAGAATCTCGCTGGAAGTAGTAGGTCATCCAGGTACTTCTCGTATACGGATTTTCAAATTTTATGAATTTGAATACTCACCCTCTATTTTGTTTTTAGCATACTATATAACATGGATGTATGTGTTTTCAGACACAGCTAGCAGCACAAAATTATTGCATAACTTTACTGCAAACAAATTTAAGTGGGTTGAACATAAACTGTCAAAACTTTTCAAGATATGTGTTGTTTTAGCACATATTAAGCAAATGTTTTTACCAAGCAGCATTTTTGTTTTCATTTAGAATGTAATATATGAAGATTTCAACAGCAAAAACCTTTAAGTGCTGTCTGAAATTTTCCTTTAAATTTGTGTTTTTCTCAGCCTCCTATGTTTATGTTCCGGTATTTCATTTTGAATGCAATGAAAATAACCTATTCTTTGCACTAAGGCCAAGTTCAGATTGGATGATTTTAGCCTCGATTTTGACTCGCTGACAGGTTTTGAGAAATCGCAAGCAAATCAGTGCGCGTTTACGTACGAGTAACAATTACACAGTATGAACTATCAAAGACACGATCTGAGAGAATCGCAGATGAGTCGCCAAAGCCTGTGAGATATTTGGTGTGCTAAATATCTGGAGCTGTCGACAATTCAAATCACACAGCGTGAAATGTGTTCTGATTGAAAATAACATCAGCGATCACCTACAGCCAATGAGAAAGCAGCATTCACTACTATGGGTATCTGCAGGCCAGCGGTATGTTAGGGGAGTTAAAAGGTTTTTTTTTTTGTCTATTTCAGGGGTCACCAATCTCGGTCCTGGAGGGCCGGTGTCCCTGCAGGGTTTAGCTCCAACTTGCCTCAACACACCTGCCTAGATGTTTCAAGTATACCTAGTAAGACCTTGATTAGCTTGTTCAAGTGTGTTTGATTAGGGTTGGAGCTTAAATCTGCTGGACACCGGCCCTCCAGGAACAAGTTTGGTGACCACTGGTTTATTTGGACCCATGGAATGGAGTAAAAACTACTGTAAATTTGGCAGCAACACATGTCTCTTTTACATATCATTTGATCAATACCACAACCGAGTTGAAAAGGAAAAAAATTGAGGAGAAATTGCTAATTCTCTTCAAAAGCCAGGGAAACAAAAAGGCTTCATTTTCGTTATGTTGTTAATAAGACTACGTGATCTTGCAGTGTTTCCATGTTACTTCTTGCATGCGCTTGTTTTAAGGCATGGTTTGCAGACCGAGACAAAGTTGTCGACGATTCTTCCTATTGTAAAGTCATGCAAATTGAAACCCCCTTTGCCGAATTATTTTGCAGTGTAAACACAGCAGTGACGGAACACTACCCCAGTTAGTCACGCAGTGTGAAAACATCTGTGACGCCACTACTTTGAGAACCGTGCAGTCTGAACACGGCATAAGAGTAAAATCACTGAAACTACACTGCGATGTTGTGAACCCCCCCATATATATATATATATATATATATATATATATATATATATATATATATATATATATATATATATATATATATATATATATATATATATATATATATATATTCAGTGTCCATAAAATTCCAAAATAATTTACAAAAATATATATACAAAAATACTAAGTATCAAATCAACCAATCAAAAAAAGTTGAATATATACAACACAAAAACAAATCAAAGATAAAAAGTTAAACGTACAAGTATCCACTCACTGAGAAAATTGCTCACGGCTCTGCCACAGCACGCTTGCTCACCAGGTAAACTGACCCCGAGCTGGAGTCTGGCATTCCTCTTTATATGCCAGACTCCGTCCATCGATTGGCACAAGCCATTCAGGTATGTCTACACTGCAAAAAAAAAAAATGTTTTCTTACTTTTTAATCTTGTTTAGTCCAAATTTCTAAACATTCTTAAATCAAGAAACATAATGTCTTGTTTTAAGAAACAATATGCCAAAATTAAGTGACTTTTTCCTTAAAACAAGCTAAATAATCTGCCAATTAGGTAAGCAAAATAATCTTATGTCAAAAGGAAAAACAAGATTATTTTGCTTACCCCATTGGCAGATTATTTTGTTGGTTTTAAAGACAAACTCTTTTCATTTTGGCATATTATTTCTTAAAGCAAGACATTGTGCTTTGCTTGTCACGAAAATTCGGAATTTTTAGATATTTAGACTAGAAAACAGACAAAATATCTAAGTAAGAAAAGCATTTTTTGCAGTGTATAAAACATACTTCTCTTAAAACTTGCCTTAAATGGCATTTCTTTAAACAACAGACTGAGAAAAATGCACATTGTAGAGGACAATTTCAGATGGTAAGGATTGCAAAGAGGCTTTTGCATGTAAACTCTTCATATGCTCAGCAATATAGTGTTTAATTTAGTTCTTTAGCAAGCAAATGTGTTGTTGCAACTGCTATGAACCTCTTTCAACATATTTATTTTCTGCTGCTGGTTGAGGATATCAATAGTTAGGTTTCTAATCAAAGATGCAAATTATACTTGTGCTCAAAACTGGAATATCGCATGAAATGTTTGCAAATAATGCAGCATTTCCATCCAATGAGTCAAAGAGAACAAAATCGCAAAACAAAGTCCTTTCCTGATAATACCATAAAAAAGGTATCTGTTGAAATCACTTACATTTTTCTGAGTGTACTCAGTTCACATTTTTCAAATTTACATGCACCTTGCCATTTCCATCGAAAAATTTTTATATGGTATTCCAAAATGTGCATAAATTAAGTGGATGGAAAGATAGCTACTGTGGCACAGTTGTATATTTCATGTGATGGTTTAATGATTAACACCCTCTTTGAATTGCATATCCAAACAGATCTAATGGGATTTTCTTTTTTCCCTCTCTCCAATAGGTAAATGGAACAGAAATTGAATATGAATTTGAAGAGATTACATTAGAGCGGGTAAGTGTGTCTCTCTCTTTCACATAGCATGCATCCATATATTTGCTGTATCCGTAGGCACATATTAAGCACATGTCATATTTTCTGCTCGTGTGGACTCTTCCGCCTGGTAATCCAATCATTCATGGCTTAGCCTGTGAGCATGATCTTCAAATGTAAGCATCAAACATGACACGTCACAAAACAAACTTGGCCTTTAAATGTGAGATGATTGGATTGAATACATTTTTTGATTCGACTAGTCATTGTGTTCGGAGATATCTAGGAAAGGGAATTTGCCTGATCAAAAATTTAGTAAAATGTCTTGTGTCAAAGCCAAATTTGACACTTCATATTACTATATCTAAATTACTATATTATTATTAATATTTAGTATTTGCATGTGTTTTTCATTATATTTATTCATTTGATGGCATTTAAACTGGCACTAATCCCAATTTATGTTTGGAAAATTTATTTTGCAATACATGTAGTACTGTTTTTAAAAAAAATATGAATCATCTGTTTATAATGATCAATCATCACGTTGATATTAAGACGAAATCACAAGAAAAAGATCAGTTGAAATAATACAAAATATTTCTTGAGTACAAAATCAGCTTTTTTTACACTGGTTTTTGAACAATCATGTCTCAATGAAAATTAGAGAAGTAAGAATGCTGTATTCAGTTTTGTGGTTACTGGAATAAATTGCATTTTTTAAATATATTAAAACAAACAAGCAGCTATTTAATCTTAATGTAATTAAGATATTTCACAATTCAACTTATTATATAGAAATATATTAAATGACACACTCGATTTTTACTTCAGTGTAATTGTTTTAGGTCTAATCAATGAACTTTATTATAATATATGCTTAAGCATTTTATATTAATTATTGCTATGCATTATTTTGGTTTTACCTTAAAAAAGAATGATCAATTTTAGCAGAAACTGAATTTAACCGAAGAAAATTAACTACTGATCCTAATCTAAAATATGTCAATATTTGCATCTTAAATTTGCATGTTAATGCTTTCTTATTTATACAGTCAAGCCCAACATTTTTTTCATACAAAATTCTGGCTCAAATATACTTTTGTTCAACCAGCAAGTTTTGTTTTAAAACTTTTGTTTTAGTTTTTTTTTTTTTTTTTGGGGGCCAGAAATGACACAGGCTTCTCCCAAAATATAAAAAGAGGCATCATTGTGGCAAAAGGGTATTTCTCAGCTTTTTTTATATACATTTAAACAAAAACTTTAAGGCAGAATTTACCAGGGGTATGAATAAGTTTGGGCTTGACTGTACAGTATCACTGAAAAAAGTGTTGCATGCAGAACTGTTGCAAACAATTTATTTGTGTTGAATTTAAACAAACAAATTAAGTTTAATAATGTTCAACTTAATTTGTTTGTTTAAACTTTGCCCAAATAAATTGTTTACAACCACTTAACGTAAAAAAAAAAAATCAGTAAATCCAAGGAATCATCTTTGAATAATTTTTTTTCAGTGTACTATATATATATATATATATATATATATATATATATATATATATATATATATATATATATATATATATATATACACACACACACAAACACTGGGGGAAATAAGTATTCAACACGAAAATATATTGTAAATTCGAAATATATTCTAAAGGTGCTGAAATTTGAAAGTTGATGTTGATAAAAGATCCAAATATGAAAAAAAAACAGATCAAATTAGTTTACAAATTAAGTTATGTGTAATAAAATGAAATGACACAGAAAAAAGTATTGAACAGATGAAGAAAGGGAGGTGTAGAATGGCAGTGAAAGCCCAGACAGCAGCTGAAATCTTAGTTATTTGGCAAACCCCTTGCCCTTCAAAATGAGTATTAGATTTTTAGTCCAAGATCTACATTAGCAGGATGATGAAGATGAAGTCAGGGTGGGCATTTTAGCAAGACAATGATCCAAAACACAACCAAGGAAACTCTCAAATGCTTTCAGAAAAAGACAATCAAGCTTTAGAATGGCCCAACCTATCACCTGACTTGAATCCAATAATAAAAACAAAGTAAAGATCAGTTTGGATAGACAAAACCCTCAGAATTGTATTACCATCAACACCAATGCATGTCAACATTCGAAACCATGCCCTGTATATTTTGTCATCTGGAGCTTCAAATGTTCACTCTCAATAAAACCGAATAGATTCTGATTTTCTGTTAGCGTCTTCATCAGTTAAGAATAACGGAAAGTGTTACTGAAGCTTTAATTTAGAATGTGGAAATCACAGGACCCTCTTAATTGGGCCACTGGATGGGCTTTATTTGCAAGTGAAAGCCTGGGGTGCACAGTAGAGGCAGTGTGAGTGAAACGGAGAGAATTAGATGGCTGCGGATGACATTCTGGCAGCTGCAATCGGATCCACATGACTAGACACAGAGCACGGACAATAGCAAAGGTCAACTAGACCAGAGGGAGTGCAGATTTGTCCGACCCTGGAGAATAAGAGCTGAGGGTATATGTTCTGTGCTTTCTGCAGAATCCACTAAGATTACAAGCTCCAAAATTGGATACAAACCGAGATGATAACTCTGCTGCAAGAGCCCAGTCTCTTATTGTCACTCATACACAGTTGAAGTCAGAATTATTAACCTCCCTGTATATTTTTCCACAATTTCTGTTTTACATAAAGAAGATTTTTTTAACACATTTCTAAAAGTAATAGTTTTAATAACTCATTTCTAATAAATTATATATTTTTCTGATTTATCTTTGCCATGATGACAGTAAATAATATTTTGCTAGATAGTTTTCAAGATGCTAGTGTTCAGCTTAAAGTGCTATTTAAAGGCTTAACTAGGTTAGTTAGATTAACCAGGCAAGTTAGGGTAATTAGGCAAGTCATTGTATAGTAGGGATGCAGCGATTATAGATTTTGGTTGTACAATTATAGTCTGAGGAATAATCATCGTTTCACAGTTATCACAATTATTATGCATTCATTAACTTCAAAACACTACTAGTTTAGGAAATCTTGCGCTGCAAAAAACAAAAAGTCAAGTGAACTTAAACCGTTTGATAAAGTTGACTTTTGAGTTTACAGTACATGAAAACTTATATTTTAAAGTGTTGTTTATAGCTGCTCAGTAACCAAATAATACAGCTCAAAATAATAATAAAAAACAAACAATAGTCAATAGTCCATTTCTCTTTGGACTTAAGTGTGAAAAATGTTGTTGACATTTAAACATACAGTAAGTAATAGGTTTACAATGAAAATAGATGACAAAACAATGAATAAATAAAAATAAGACTAAATAAATAAAAAAATATATTCGTCTAATGTAAATTTAGTTTTGAACGATTGTTCATCTTTATTTTCTATATTGTATAAAATTATTGTACTTTATACTTTTATAATTATTATTGATTATTAAAATGATAGCTTACTGATTGTTATATTCAGCAAAAAAGACGGCAATTTCATATTTTACCATGTATTTCCTCTGATAATATTGTGTTCATAGCTTGACATTAACAGGGTTCATACGGTCATGGAAAACATGGAAAAGTCATGGAATTTTGACAACGCATTTTCCAGGCCTGGAAAAGTTTTGGAAAAACAGAAAAACTCACAAAGTTTTGGATAAGTCATGGAAATTAGTTTACCAAATATATGTGTACTTGAATTAGGGCTGCACACATTTGGACAAATCTGGCATTATGATATTTTGTATTTCTGTCATATATATATTTCTGTCATATATATATAGTCACTGGCATTTTTATTTTGGGGGTCACGGGCTAAAAAGTTTGGGAACCCCTGCTATAGACAATTGAAATAATAATAATAATTGCTTAAGAGGACCAATAATATTGACAATAATTACATTTTTAAACTGTTGGTATTGTAACCGAAATAAAACAAATCAGACTTTCTCCAGAAGAAAAAAAAATATTATAGGAAGAACTGTAAAATATTCCTTTCTCTGTTAATCATCGTTTGGGAAATATTTAAAAAATAAAGAAAAAAAATATCAGGGGCAAATAATTGTGACTTCAACTGTATATCTTTCTCTCTATTGAAAACCATTGCTGGTATTGCATATTGTAGCACTGTGCATGTACATATGGTTGATCTGACTTCTTAAAATAGCAAGATCTCTTATCAACAACAATTATTTTTCTTTAGAATGCATTTAGTTTAAAGCTTAAAGGTCTGTGTATTATACAGAGGAAGCACCTTGGAGAGTTTAGTCATAAACACGTCACTTCAAAATATTAGCCTGTTACTCTGTTTATGTCTTTTAGATGGTAAATGTGGCTGTAGCTCACACTTTTTTTGATTTGTTGGTTTGCACTGCTCAGATGCACAAGCCGTGCCAAAGTGTAAACACTGATGAGTCATAAGTAAAAAGTGCCTCTCCGACAAATATACTGTTACGCTTCTGTTTTTTGGCTCAGTTTTATTTTTGTGTGTGTGGTTGTGCTACTTAGGTCTTTTGTACGAGGCAAATTACTATTAAATCAATCACTATTAAAAGATTTACTTTTTTAATTTATTTTCAGATAGCGTACAAGGAATCATTTCTTATTTGTTTTAATAATTGTAGGCTGTGAATTCAGAAGTGTAACACTCAGATAGGGGTGGGCTGCTTGAACAAAATTCTATTTCACGGTATGAGTAATTTTATTTCACGTTAATATGTTTTACGATATAGTCATTTAAATAGGTAGTTATTCCAGGAAATCAACAAAAAGGTTATGATAAATATTCATCAATATTTTTTCAAAATGTTTTATTGTTTTTAGCTTGTTAATTTACAGTAAATGAGAAATATATGATGTTTGCTGATGTATTAACTTCTATTTGGCTAGATCTACAGTATGCAGCTTTTCTTTTGTGGTTCTAATGTTTAGACTTTTTTTAACTGAAGAAAAAATAATCTCCTCCTGTAATACATTCCTATCTATATCCATATCTCCTCAGGGTAACTCAGGGTTGGGGTTTAGTATAGCAGGCGGCACAGATAACCCTCACATTGGCGATGATCCCGGAATCTTCATCACAAAAATCATTCCTGGGGGAGCAGCGGCTGAAGACGGCAGACTCAGGTGGGACAGTGTTCAATAACAATGTATTACTATTCAGCTATAAGCAGCTCTGTAGAATATACAAGGTAAACGTTTCTAAATTGGTATCTAACCTTTTACATCTGCAGAACTTTGTCCATTGTGTCAGAGTTTCTTCATAGTACAAAATATACTTTAAAGTATGAAAAATGACAAGTACCATGTCATGGTCTTGGAGCATTCAAACCTCAACAAAAATCACTTTTGGAGCCTTCATTTCTGAGTTTATGGAAGTAAAACAGTGGCCTCAGAGTTGTCTGGTCTAAATTTATCTCCACTCCTCAAGTAATTGTCAGCGTTTGATGTCGATTTGAAATATTGTAATGTATTAATGAGGGGTCAAGCAGAACAGCTGTAGAAGCTTGTTCTTGTTAGCTGAAATTTGCACTCATGTACATGATAACTTTTTACAGTTATAATACATTTTTAACAAACATTTATTTTCAATGTAATTTTATTAATACTGTAAAAAAAATTAGATGTTAGTATTAGTATGTTAGTCTTATAGAATATCTATGAGTTATAAGCAAGTTTGCATTAAAAAATTTCAACTTTCAAAGCTTGCAGATTACTTTGATGGACCAACTAATTCTGACTTGTCCTTTAAAGCTGCTAAAATCAGTAATTTATTCACATGTCATGGTCTTGGAGCATTCAAAACTTACCAAAAATCACTTTTGAAGTCTTCGTTTCTGAGTTTATGCAAGGAAACATGTCGATTTGAAATATTCTAATGCATTAATGAGTGGTCAAAGGACATAGTTATTGAAGCTTGTTCCTGCCAGCTTGTTAGATGAAATTTGCACTCATGTTTATGATAACGTTCTACAGTTATAATAAGTTTTTAACAAACATTTATTTTCAATGTAATTTTATTAGTACTGTAAAAATGTTTAGATGTTAGTATCAGTATGTTATTCTAATAGAATATCTACAGTATAAGCTATAACCAAGTTTGCATTAAGAAGAAATAAATATTCCAAGCTTGCAGATTACTTTGATCAACAAATTCTGACGTGTCCTTTAAAGCTGCTAAAGTCATTTATTCACATGTCATGTTCAAAAGAAAAGAGCCAAATTACTACACTGTATATATATTTGTAATTACAAAAAAATTAAGTCAGGATTTCAAGATATTAACTAAGAATTAAAGCTCAATAATTCAGAGTTTTGAAACATTGGCTTAGAATGAAATAAGAGTCAGAATATTAAATTAAAAGGTCACACTTACCTTTTTTATTTCTACATTTTTAAAACCTTAAATTTTCTTGAATAACTCTTTCTTAAGATAAATCCAGTAGATCATTAGGTAATTTACTTTGTTGAGAAATAATGCTCATTGCTCTTGCTTCTTGGAGCAATTCCTTTCCCTCTTCTTCTCTCTCTTGCTCTTTCCTTTCCCTCTCCCTGCTGTAAATGATTGAAATGGGGCTGTTTATCACAGCCCTAATGTCTCTCTGGAGAGCTGAAGTACCTGAAGTTTTCTGCTGACTGCCACACACTCTGACCGCGAGGTGCTTTAAAAAATTTACCATCTGCAAGGTCTGAGGTGAAGTGTGTGGATATAACGAATAGACCTGACCAAATCACTCTGGGATTATGTCAATCTTCTAGGGAAAAAACAAACAAATATGCATTATACATTTTATGTAAAAACTTCTTCCACTCTTGAACTTAGCCCATTGAAGTTGTGAAATTCGGCACAGAGGACAGTCTGACTATTAACCATAAGAGATTTTTAGTATCCTGGGTTACCACGGGTCATGCGATTTCTGGAATGTCATGGCATCTCTCCCGTATTTTAGAATTCTAGGCCGCTATTATTCCGTTCAGCTATTTTTTGTATTTCTTCCATATTTTTAATCTTTCTAAGAAGGGTGGCAATAAACATCAAAGAGCCGATACTCCCTATATGCTTCCCATACCGCCGAACCATCAGGGGACGCCCCTTGCACTTAAATGTGAATCGGTTCTGTAGTTTCATTGATTTAGGTAATAAAACACTTTAAAATAAATAGGCACCATTGCTCTCCTATGCCATCACCAAAACAGTCAGTTCATGTAGCGGTGCATGTTCATTTTTGATGTCTTAAGGGGGTCTCACCTAGGTTATAATATTTTTGGATTTTTTATTAGCTTTAGGATATTTGGATATTTGTTAGGTGTAAGATTCAAAATCATCACAATAAATACTGTATAATAAAAACTCCACCACTACCCTCTACCTATCCTCGAATTCAAACACAACAGCCCACCAGATAGCAGCCTTAAGTAAAAAGGCTGCTTCTGAGGTTAAATGCACAGTAGTGATGGAGAGTTCAGATCTTTAGCGGGAACCGGATCTTTTGTGACAATCCTCTCATGTTTGCACTCAACACACCAAAAATATGTAATCAGCAGTTATAATTTCAGTCAGTTTAAACATCACCATGATCTGAAAAGTTTCTTACAACTACATTTGACAACTCTTGATCTTGAAAGATCTGGCCTGTGGCATCAGGACTACAGACTCTAAGGTATTGTACAGTCAAACACCAGGCATCGTGAAGTAAATAGGTTTACTTCTAAAAGGCTTATAGTATGTATTAAATGCATTTACAAAGACAAACATTTTTGCTATAATTGTAGTTAAAGTTAGTTTTTATGCACACAATACAGTTTAGTTAGTTCTTTTTTTAACTCACTGTTTTGAAATATCAGTTAACAAAAAATTATTTTTAATTGTAGTTTTTGTTTTTTCGTTCGTTTTCGTTTACTATAATAACCTTGGGCCTCACACCAGTCTGCGCTGCACCATTTCTTTAACAAACTGAAAACAATCATGTATGCACTCCGGTAGTGCCATTCAAGTTGCCATGCAATTCAGGATGTTGTTTAAATTCCTGCCTTCCCACAGAACTCCATCTCCATAGTTTTACATTAAACAACATTGTATTGGCATGTAGAATGTGGAATCCAAGAAAAAGCTTGGGTTTGTTTACAATCAGAATACTTCAAATGCTATTAAAATAAATTGTTTTTACCAAAACCGCATGATATGATTTTGCCAACAATCATTTTTCACCTCTACACTCTGGTTGTACATCAGCAATTATCTCGTTAGTTTCTATTTTAGGAAAGAATGTTAATATAAATGTGATTATTCAATAATATGACAAAACTGAATTAAGTCTTCAGAGTTATAAAAGAGCATTCTTTGACCAATTAGACGTTCCTCCTCGTTTTGAGAGTTTAATTGTTATCCGTAAGCTGTAGTGTTTCTATTCCTGGCTGGGTGTGTTTGAGATTCACGTCAGGGCCGATCAGGAGTTGATTGAGAGGGTTGTTTTATTAGAGCGAAACCTAATTAGATTGTGCTGGAGATCTGCAGATCTCCCAGTGTTTTGTATGCATGTGTGTGTCGTTGTGAGCAGCAGCTGCGTTCGACAGCCCTGTCTGAGCCTTTCACCCTGCTCTGCTCCATGACTTGGCTGTTTTCTTTTATTCTTCCTCTCTCAATCAGGTCTGTCAGGGCTTTGAGCATCAGCAGTCCTCCTTCTCTCCAGGCACTTTAGCGGTTCAGTATTCTGCTTTAGACCCTCAACCATATTTCCCCTTTGGTTCTCTTTCATTCTCCATCTCTGTCCAGCCCATAGTCTGCATTCTTTCTTTTAAAAGAGTACGACATTTTGAACGTTTTCCAATAAGCTGTGATAGATTTATGGTGAGTTGGAGCTGAACACCATTTAGAGAATCAATTACATTGTGTAGGTTTTTTTTTTTTTTCATTTTGGTAGCCTTGTTTGACATTGGGAGTGCTGAAAGCGGAACTAGCTTTGGATAAATCATGTCAGGTTTAAGGATTCAAGGAGTAAAGTAAAAGGAAGTTGCATCAAAGATTATGAGTTGGAAAAAAGAATACATGTATAGTCAGGCTTTATACATGCAGTCCCTGAAAAAAATTTGCAGATTTACTCAGGAAAAAATGCAAATAACTGATTTGGTGGCAAGTTTTTGCAAAATGAGTGTTCGTTCATTTTTTTGCTGTGATAATACAGCTGGCAATTAGATTTTTTTAACCAAAGTTTTAACCAAACATTTTGTGCAATTAGGGTTGCATTTATTTCCATAATAACCCTTGCCGCCAAAATAAATTAACAAACAAGTTAAATTCAAATAAAATTACACAAGGAAAAACCTTTCAGTATTGAACTGACCTTATTCTGCGATGCGGAAGTGGACTCATTTTTGCCTAGATGACTCCAGATGACTCCAGATGACTTCAAATGACTAGAAATAATAAACGGCAGAAAACAGTCAAGCTACTTGCTCTACAAACAAAGTGTGTTCATGGCTATACAGACAAAGCAGAATTATATGATAAGAAAATATCAGTTTGCAGCATCAAGCAGAAAAACGAGCTGTTTTTAACATCTAAAAATGAATGGAAGTGAATGGGACCGAAAGTTTCAAGCCAAAAAGATTCAAAAGGTCGCTCGTATGTGGAGAATAAGATCAATACATTTGCAGTTAGACATATCAATTGTAAAAAATAATTCAAATAAAGTAATACCTTCAATTAATTAATACGAATCAATGATCTGACATAGCGGTCTTCTACATATGTTTGGAGTCAAACAATATTAGTGATCACATTTAAACCTGTTTACATAAATGACTTTTGTACTATTGCATCATTTATTATTATTTTATATAGGCTTTAATTTACTACAAGTTATTAGTTCACATAGTAAATCTGCTATGTGCTTTTGTCATTTTTAATAGTTTGTGTGTGTGTGTGGGGGGGGGGGGGTTGTCAGTGTGGCTGTTATTGTTATATTTAATGGAATTCTATTTAGTTAGCTGCCAAGGAAATGTTATTGTTATTGTTATTATTATTATTATTATTATTATTAAATGTCTTTCTTAAGTTATTTTTGTCTAGTAAAATTAGCAAAAATGTATACATTTGCAGTTAGACAATAACAATAATATTGCTTTAATATGAAAATAACTCCTAGATTAACTAAGAAATAATTATTTTATTTATTTTTGGTGTGGTCAGAGATAAATCTTGTAAATCCTTAATTTTGAGCTCTGAAAAGTCATCTGAAATAAAAACTATTGCAATGTGACACGACCCATTTACTCATGCATATTGAGCAAGCTCATATATACACACAACACACAAAAAGTTAAATGAATAAGAAGGCATGTGAACATAACAAAATTTAAATCAAGTAATTTTATCATGTCAAATTTATGCATATAAAATGTATTTTCCTAACCAAAAAATTGTGGCTAGTAATAATGGTGAGTGGCTAGTAATATTGGAAATCTACTAGCCAAAGTGGCTGGTGATCAGAAAAGTTAATATCAAGCCCTGCCTACAATTAGTTAATACAACATGTGTTTGAAGTCAAACAATATTAGTGATCACATTTAAACCTGTTTACACAAATTTCTTTATATAAATAATATTTGTTGTTTTTATACTATTGTGTTGTTTATTATTGAGTTATTAAGTTATTAAGAAATGTTATTAGGAAATGTTTTTATTATTATTATTATTATTATTAAATATTTTTTTTACCTCGTTAAGTTATCAAAAATGTCTCAAATCCTTAAATTATCTAAATAAAACAAAAAACGAAAATGTTTCATTTTCAACATATATGTGTACTTTAATTATACTTGTTTGTATTCGATGTTTGATGTAACCTCAACTGAAAAATGTAGAGCGGGTGGGACAGAGTAGCTCCTCCCCTTTTTAAAAAACAGCCAATAACATTTCGTTTTGGTCACAGCTCTGTCAGTGAAAGTGGTTGAGCTCAAGCGCATTAAATAAAAAACAAACAAAAAGCATCTTGAAGGGGACGATGCATGTCAGATACTAAAAAGCATTTGATTGGTCAAAATTCGATAAGAAACTGAAGTATGAGGCGACCTGAAACAAACGTTGAATGATTTAGTTGGAAATGACAAACTGCAAGCTTTGGATGTTAATGTGAGTTTTATATTCTCTAAATGCTAATTTTGTCATTGTTTTGTACCACACTAGCTAATAAATATCCGTAAAACTAACAGACAGAAACCAACATCTACTTTTTATATTTTAATTTCACTGGAGCTTTAAATATTTTCTGTTTTACTCTTTAGCGCTCATCATCATCAAGGGTGCCATTAGCATCTGAATAAATTGAGCTGTGTGATGTAGTTCCTCTGCATAGTGCGGCATAGTTCGTCTGTTGCATATATTTGCCGTATATACATGTGTGGATGGTTTGCTTTCAGTGTGTGTGTGTGTTTGCTGGGTCTCAGCTGCTGTATGTAAGTCTGCCCCAGGAGGCGGCTGTCCTTGGCCCACAGGCTGCCATGATCTGGAACTCTCCGCAGGAGGCTTTACCACAGAAAAACTCACTCCTCGCCTTATTTCTTCCCACAGAGTCAATGACTGTATTTTGCGAGTGAACGAAAGCGATGTTTCCGAGGTGTCTCACAGTAAAGCAGTGGAGGCTCTGAAAGCGGCCGGATCGATTGTGAGGCTCTATGTTCGCAGGAGGAGACCGATGCTGGAGACCGTCACCGAAATCAAACTCATAAAAGGACCAAAAGGTTTCCCATTTACATTTACAATAAAGTCAGAGCTGCTCTTTATTGTTTACATTACGTGTATGTCACGGCAGTTGACTGATAACTAAAAAATAGTTTCTATTTTATATTTGCACTAGAAATGGCCAATATGGACTATATCACAGTATTTTCCGGTGATTTTTGTGATATCAGTGACAATATTACATGTGTATTTACTGAGAAACAAAACATTTCTGTCACTTTGGAAAGAGGTATTATATTTTCTATTTTTAACACCATATTTGAATTACTGTACGTCATAAGACTTTATAATTATGATATTGACACATGAGTACGAAGGAGATTGTATGAATGCTTTTGACAATTGTCATTAAGTGTCATTTTAAATGCAAAGAAGACATTATTTGAGATTTTTCTGATGAATATTTGAAAAAAACAAACACATCTTAACATGTCTTTTACAAAGACAGAATCAAGTAGAAGTAAAAAATAAAACATATGCTGAAACTTATCAAACTAGAAAACATATTAACATACAGTTGTGGCAATTTTTATATATATATATATATATATATATATATATATATATATATATATATACATTATACATATGCAATATGGCTGTATATCAGCGCCAGCGGGGGACATGCATTGGCACGAAGCCACAGGCCAATTTCCTTAGTCTCCCAGCAGTGACAATATATAGCCATATCGCACTGCTACTCGTATGATATTGCTCATTTATAAATGTAATATATACATATAACAGTTCATCATAATCATAATCATGTATATATAAAAGAAAAGCAAACAGAGAGAGTCTAAAAACCCTTTTGTATGAGGAACTACTTTCTGCGCTAAACACATGTGGGCATTTCTTCTTTCTTTCTGTTTACTGAACTAGTCAGGACAGGAGATTATTAGAAACAAACAGATGGCCAACCAAACAGTACCTTAGAGTTATACAAAGAGTCCCATCTCACACTTAACACACTAAAATTTACTTTGGTATAAATACAGCACCACAACATACAAAAGAGAGAGAGATCGACTTGGAATGTCACTCACCAATTTTCTAATATTTTGATCAGCTGTTGTTTGAAAATACGCCAATCTTTTCTTTAAGGGCTTGTTATGCGGTCTCTGTCACCATCTTGTGGATGGTGTCTTTATTAAAAATTATAAATATTTAAAATAGGCATTATCCTTTTAAATAAACTGCATAGATGCAAAATACATTCTCGCCTAAAAAGCCTCAGGAGTACATTATGTTGTCCAACAGCTGCAATATTTGTCAAACTGTGATGAATTTATTAATCTGCTGGCACTCTTTGTGGGAGGAGTAATACAGAAGGGTGAAGAGGCTGTACGATTTCTGTTATTGTTGAATATTGTTGAATATTGCATGGCTATCAGCCAATCAGATTCGAGAACTAGACAGAACTGTTTAATAAATGTGTATATTACATATATATTTATATATATATATATATATATATATATATATATATATATATATATATATATATATATATATATATATAGTACAATTAAAAACAACCCAACCCAAAAAAATCCAGATTGACTGATCCAGAATGAAATGCTGATGTTTTGTGGCAAGTTTTTGCAAAATTTGGGACAATTTCTTTATTCATTTTATGACCTCGAGAGCCATTGGTCTCTGTAATTTGTATAAAGGAAACACTGAGAGAAACTCATTCTGTGGGACATGAAACCATTTCTGCCCGCAAAAAGTTTTTAGTCACTCATATAATGTAGTGGATTTGGAGTAAACGTAAGTCAGTAAATCCCCGCAAACTTTATTCATTGTAATACAGACCGATGTATTGTTGCACTGTTCAGCCCTGACTATACTAGTTCAAGATTGTAGCAGATTCCCAATTGTAGCTTACAATCCTTATTATTGCATATTACTGCATGAAGACTATCTTATCTTTGTGGAAATTTGTTCACCAATAAATAGCAAACGATAGGATATTACCCAACCTTGCTTTATTTGTAGTTTGCATTCAATATGTTTTTGTGTGTCTTTTGTTTTTTACTTTCTGCTGTTATTAATGAAAATAAGCTATTGCGTACTCACATTCACATTGAGGATGGACAGATAAATGGAACACAATATTGAAAGTTCACTGAGCCCAAGAGTCATCACGTCCTTTTTGTTGGTTGTTGCTGTTGTTGTTGTTTGGGCGGAGCATTAACCAGAACTACATCCTGGGAAAAGACAAGGCTTTGATGCATTATTCAGAGCGCATAAAGTATGATGCATCACACATACACACACTAACAGCAGCGCTTGCACAAATTTGGAAGAAGAGCTTTGGGCACGATAGACACTTTAAATCTAAAACAAAGTTAACACGTGTTTCTTTTTCGAAGAAACCGAGGACCTAGATTATGCTTGAGGAATGTGTGTGTATGTGATGCTCTCAGAGAGTTTTAAATGCGCTTTTTATAACTAGATGTTGGTTAATATCAACTTCTAATGCTTAAACGCCATTGCTTCTGTTTAATGTAATGACAAAGGGATGATAAATTGCATGGGTAGTCTGTTGTCACTGCTTCTAAGCTAATGATTTAGATATTTCTTTTCTCAAAATCCCACAGGGCTCGGCTTCAGTATTGCAGGTGGTGTAGGAAACCAGCACATCCCAGGTGATAACAGCATTTATGTCACTAAAATCATCGACGGAGGTGCTGCACAGAAGGATGGACGGTTACAAGTTGGAGACAGACTGCTTATGGTATGTCTTATTGACCTCAGATCTTGTCTTATCAAAATTGGATGATAATTTCAGTGGGAAACAAATCAGGTCAGAAATTATAAGGATAAATATTTTGCATAAAGAAACTGATTTTTTTATTGAAGGAAAAGACAATTTACAAACAATAAAACAGCAAACATAACAGTTTCCTTCTTTCTAAATTTGTTTTAATCCAAACCCGACACCCAAGACCTAAACATCTCAAGTCACCTTAACAGAATAATTAGTATAATATACGGTAATTACACAGTCCATGTCATGCATGTTGTAATAAATTGAGTCATGCATTTTGTAACTTAACAGTGATGATGAAAAAATAAATAAATAAATAAATAAATAAATAAATAAATAAATAAATAAATAAATAAATAAATAAAATGGGAAGGAATTTTATTTTATTTTATTTTATTTATTTATTTATTTTTTTGGGTTTGTTTTTTGTTTTGTTTTGTTTTATTTCAAAGCCATTTGCAAGTTTATTTTCCCCAGAAGTGTTTAAGCAGCACAAACTTGCAAAACCAAGTGTTTCATTCAAAACTATTTTATTTTATTTTATTTTATTTATTTATTTTTTTTTTTTTTGTATTTCTTTATTTACTATTTTATTTTATTTTATTTTATACAAGATCAGCTTTCCCTCACATCCAGTGTTGGGGTAATGCATTACAAGTAATTTGAGTTACCTTTTAAAAATGTAACTTACTTTTACAGTTACTTTTTAAATTAATTAATTCACTTTAAAAAAAAAAGTATTTGCTAAAATTATTTACTGAATTAAATTGTAATCACGTTGAATCACACTCATTGAGAGAACGAGCTCTCCCCGAGAACAGACAGAAACCAAGGTGGCAGAGGTTTACATTTCTGTGATATAAGTATTCTCATTATTTTGAACACATGGAAGAAGAAGGGGTTTTACTGTCCAATGAAAAAGTGACTCAAGAGTAATGTAATGCATTACTTTGCATTAAAAGTAACTAAGTAATACATATATCTATAGTCTTTGAGTGTAAAAAGGTAATAGGTACACTCTCGCACTAGTAACGCACACAGTTTTCCAAAGAAATGAAAAAGAATTTTGACTTTAAGAGCTGTAAGATAGAGCTAGCATAAAAAAAAAAAAACTATATCTGTTACCATCCGGAAGTAAGCTTTCTGGCAGATAATTATTTAGTCATAAATTTACATCACTTTTTGAAACTTGACCCAGTTTTTTATTCATTCATTTATTTTCTTGTCGGCTTAGTCCCTTTATTAATCCGTGGTTGCCACAGCGGAATGAATCGCCAACTTATCCTGCACGTTTTTACTCAGCGGATGCTTCTCACACAGTGACCTTCTCACTGTGAGGCGACAGCACTACCTACTGCGCCACTATGTCACCCCAGGTTTTTTACAACAGTGTAAATAACTGTGCAAGCATGATAATTGTAATTGCATAGTCTGGATTCATGCATGTCAGAACAAAACAGTGATGAAGAAAGTCATATATACATTGATTTTAGTACAATTTTCCAAAAAAAAATAAAAATTATAATTTTTCAATGATATATCTTAATTTTATTATAAATTTAATTTATTTATTTATTTTTCATTATGTTTTGTATCTTATTTTATTTTTATTTATTTTATTTTTATTTATTTTTTATCTTTTTTTATTATTATTATTTTAAATTTAATTTAATTTAAATTAATGTATTAATTTATTTTATTGAATCTTTTTTATTATTTTATTTTACTTTATTTAAGATCAGCTTTCCTTCATATCCAGTGTTGGGGGTAACGCATTGCAAGTAACGCGAGCTACATAAGTATATTACTTTTATAAGTAACGAGTAAAGTAAATTCTGTAAAAACACTGAAGAGCAATTAAATTTGACTGACACTGTTTCAATTTACTATAATCTTCTATGTTAAGCTGCTTTGACACAATCTACATTGTAAAAGCGCAACAGAAATAAAGACAGAAACCAAGATGGCAGAATTTTACATTTCTGTGATGGAAGTATTCGCATTATTTTGAACACATAGTAGAAGAGGGGATAGAGGGGATTTGAGCCTCGGCTGGGGCAGTTGGCGTTTCTGCGTGGAGTTTGCCACTGTTTGCCAATCATTCCACTGTGGCGACCCCTGATTAATAAAAGGACTAAGCCGAAGGAAAATAAATCAATGAATTAATTTATATGTTTGTGTTTGTTTTAAATCATGCAAATATATTCAGTTGACTTTGATACTCTCGGTTTATTTGTGGTGCTATGTTAATGTTTTCATTGTCTGATGTTAGTACAGTAGTTTATTTTCCCCAAAAGTGTTTAAGCAGCGCATACAAAAATTTTGTAAGGATTTCATACAAAATAAAGCAAAAAGCTCTGTCCATGAGCATGAAACGCATGAAAGCAGTGCTTAGAAATCTCCAGGAAATGTGCTGCATCAATAGTTGGCTGATTACATTTGTGATGTTTCGCTCTATTGTCAGTGTCAAACTCCAACGCCTTTAATCCGGGGGGGTTGTTAAACTCTTTAAGACTGAGTTTGATTTAATTAGCAAGATCAGTGCTGTGTGTAATCCACTGGGCAGGACACATTTGGCAGTGCTGATTCGCCGTTGACCACTAGAGCGTAACTGTTTACGTAACTCTGGATTGCCCGCTTAACACATCTTGCTTGTTTTCTTTTTCACCCAGGTGAATAACTACACTCTAGAAGAGGTGACGCATGAAGAAGCAGTGGCCATACTGAAGAACACGTCAGATGTGGTTTACCTAAAGGTCGGGAAACCCACTAGTGTCTATCTCTCAGACCCTTATGGGCCGCCTGATATCACACACTGTGAGTGACATTTCTTTTACTACAGCATATTCACTGTTCATTTGTAAAAATTTAGTAGTGATGAGCAAGCTTTTATACTGGTAATTACCTAATATATGTAACAAACTCTCTCTCTTTTTGTGTTTCTCCAGCATTCTCACCCGCTATGGAAAATCATATCTCTTCCCCTGGTAATAATGGCACTCTGGAATATAAGTCCAGTCTTCCGCCCATCTCCCCCGGCCGATATTCCCCCCTGCCCAAGCACTTGCTGGGGGAAGAGGACATAAACAGGTTGGATGGTTTTTCCTTTCTACGGTAATTTCCTCCCTCTCTACCAGACGCCACTGCCCACAGGTAGATGTGTAGCCCCCTATCCCCTCCTCGTGTGTCCTGTGAAAATCCAAAACACAATCAAACAGCTTCATCACACCTTGTGATGGGATTTGTTTGGGATTTACTGTCCAATCCTTACTCCCTCTGTCTTGCTAGTTGCGTGTTGTTTTATGTTGTTGGGTTTTTAGTGATCCATGTTTGTTGTCAGCATCCAAAAGAATATTTTCAGCTCACTTTCCAGGTGAAATGAGCAATTTCATGAGAGCTAAACATTAAGCAATGTTAGAAGACTAATGATAGTAACAGGAGCAGATGATTCTTTTATACAGGCTCATTTTTGCACAGTTATTTGCGCAATATCAACTAACTTTATTAGGTACACCTTACCAGTACTGAGTTGGATGCCCTTTTGCCTTCAGATCTGCCTTATCTCTTTGTGGCATAGATTCTGTAAGGTACTGGAAAGGTACTGAAAAGGTACTGGAAATATTCCTCAGAGATTTTGGTCCATATTGACATGATAGCATTACACAGTTGCTGCAGATTTGTTGGCTGCACATCCATGATGCGAATCTCCCGCATATTCTGAAGGTGCTGAATTGGATTGAGATCTGTTAACTGTGGAGGCCATTTAAGTACAGTGAACTCATTGTCATGTTCAAGGAACAAGTCTGAGATGATTCGCACTTTATGACAAGGCGGGTTATCCTGCTGGTCATGGGATGGACATGTGAGTGACTGATTAGAAATTTCCACGAGCATTTCGACAGGTGTACCTAATAAAGTGGCCGGTGAATATATGTTTTGAACTTAATAGTTTGTTAGTTAACCCAAAAATGAAAATGATGTTAATTCCTCACACTCATGTTTTTCAACCTCCTGGTACCTTTGTTCATCTTTAGCTCCCTCATCCTCCACAGACAGCAAGTCATCCTCAAAACAGACCATATGCCTACAGTAGATCAATCTTAATATTATCAAGCAACCACAAAAGTTTTTTTGCGCACGCATGAAACAACAAGAAAAAAACTTTATCCGACAGTTTCTTTTTTTTTTTTTTTTACATTTATTTATATTTGGTGTTTTTTGCCTTTATTGTGATCCAACAGTAAGACAGGAAGCAAAGATGGAGAGAGATAGAGACCCAATCCCAATTCTATTTTTGTACCCTTTGGCCCTTGAAATGGAGTGTGAAGGGGAAGGGCTTCAAAATTTACCCCTAAGAAATGGGACAGCACTACAACACCTGCACTAGTCATTATATGTCATCGCTTAATATGAGATCAGACGATCGCGACTGCTGTAGTTATTCCAGTTGCGTTATCTTTTGGTATTTATCTTTATGAAATTACTGAAGGTGACGATATCATGTTATCATAACGATCTAATGTGGCAATAAGCTTGTGACTGTACTTTGCATTTACACCGTGGCCATATTCATCCATGTAAACACACGAAAACAGCATTTACATCATACCAGACACTGTAAAAAGGTAATTCCCAGCCACTAGACTTTTCTGACAGTGTATTCAAGTGTCATAGAGTGACAGAATGTTGTTGGACTGCTGTACAAAAGTTATTATTATGGACTGTAAATAGCTAAATTTAGCAGCTTTTTTTTTTTTAAAGCATGACGATATAACATCAACGTAGGTATGACTGTATTTAAAAATATGCTTGTTTGTAGTAAAAATGTGAGAAAAGTGAGAAAAAATACTAATTTGTGCATCTCCTGACTTCCGTGTACAGCCATTTTGCTGTTGTAGATGGTGTATTCTGGGAAATTTTCTTACCCATTGGTTTCGAGTGTGGTCCTGAAAAATCTCAGTTTCAAGGACTATCTAGCCCTTCCTCTTAGCCCTACACCTTCAAGCTAGAGAAAATTGGGACACCACCCCAGAATCTATGTAGTACACAATAGTTACCATAAAGCAGAAAGTGGGCAGTATTATGAAAATGATTCAAAGTCTTAAATGGAATGATATCAGTGTGTGTCAACAGCATGAGCTTGAATTTTAGACGCTGGCTTGTTTTGAGAGACATATGTTCAGGACTGCAGGGCTATGGATTTGTTTGGTTCACTGCAGTGCAACCTGAACCTCAGAGGGATGTACACTCTGAGCATCATCCCAAGTTTTCGGGAAACGAAAAATAAACCGCAATACCAGAACAGAATCTAAAGACTTCCTTGAGCAAAACTCTCAAGCAAACTCCCAGAGAACTGTGAATTCAGTATAAAAAAAAAAAATCCCAAAACGCCCCAAAAGACTTCAGTTTTGATTAACTTGTCTTGCAGTCTGACTTCATGATGTGTTAATAGACCCTGTAGTTGTTTTGGGCCTCTGAGGCTTTTGATAGCATGAGTGTCTAGCAATGGCAGCATTTTGGGCTGTTGCCTTTTGGACACATTGGACTTGCATAGCCGGATAACAATCCCAGAATTTCACTAGCCTTATTGGCTTATGGCCAGACTCGCCATAATAAGCTTCATCTATGCACAAGGGAAGCCTATTTGTTATTTAGACTAAATAAATACCCAAATTTAAACCTTAGCCATGTGTGTGACTATTTTGGGGAGCTATGATTTGATGTACCCTACTGACAAATACTGTAAAACAATTCGAGTTTCACAATAAATGCTTAGCATGCAAGCGGACTTGCATTCAAAACAAAGAGTATGACCTTTCCCTGAGGTGAAAGAGACAGATTAAACCCCCTCCTCTCAGCCGGAGTAAGAGGTTTACGTGGTCCGTGTGTTCGAGAAAACATAAGCCCATCTGGAAGTTCTGCCCCCTTTATCTCCACAGTGTTTTCCACAGGAGAATTGAGCACTCTGAGAAAATCAAAGGTCTTGCTTGGATATTAAAATATGGAACGGCAGACTATTGTGGTCTCCCATATCTTTTTTTTTTTTTTTTTAAAGTTCGGAAGCTCGGCAGTTGATTGGAAGTGACACAAGGAATAGGCTGTTTCATGTGGATTTGCATAATAAATTTGAAGTTATACATTGAATAATTAATTATGTGTGACATCAGGCAGATGTTCAAGGCGGGGGGATAGACTTGTGTGTGTTCTTGTGTGCCGTTTTGGTTCAGGGGAAACGAAGTGTGTAGATGCAGTGTGTGTAAGAGTTGGTTATTTGCAAGACCGCACACATTTGTCTCAGCATTATATGCGGAATGTTAAAAAGTGAAGGCGGCCAAAGCAACAGATATATAATGGCAAGTGTAAGGAAATTAAAGCCCAATCCCAATTTTATTTTTTTACCCCTACACCTTCCTCTTCCCCTTGGCCCTTGAAACAGAGTGTGAAAGGGAAGGGCTTCAAAGTTTACCCCTAAGAAACGGGACAGCTCTATAACACCTGCACACATCATTATATGTCATGGCGATCTCTCTTCCTTAACTGCTGTATTTAATACGGTTGCATTATTTTTTGGTATTCTTTAGGAAATCATCAAAGGCAACGATATCATGTTATCATGATGATATAATGTGGCAATAAGATTGTAACTTTACTTTGCATTTACCCCATGGCCATATTCATCTATGTAAACACTAGAAAACAGCATTAACATTATAGCAGACACTGTAAAAAGGTCATTCCCTGCCACTAGAGTTTTCTGACAGGGTTTTCAAATGTCATTGAGTGTCAGATGTGAAAGTATGTTGTGGGATTACTGTATATAGGATTTTTTATTATGGGTTATAGATAGCAACATTTTTATATATATATATATATATATATATATATATATATATATATATATATATATATATATATATATATATATATATATATATATATTTTTTTTTTTTTAAGCATGTTGGTAGAACGAGCGTGGGTATGATTGTATTAAAACATGTGCTTGTTTGTTGTAAAAGTTCATAATAATGACAAAAAATATTAATTTAATATTAATTTGTGCATGTCTTGACTTCCGTGTGCAGCTATGCTGTAGATGTATTCTGGAAAATGTTCTTACCCCTTGGTTTCAAGGGTGAAATCTGTTTCAAGGACTATCTAGCCCTTTCTCTTATTCCTACGCCTTTAAGCTAAAAAGAATTGGGATACCTCTACCCCTTAAAGTGATCGTGCAAAATGAGGGGTAAAACCTGGTTAATACTCGTCGCTTCCGCTAGTTCACTTGGCGACTGTGACATCATTGCGTTGTTTGTTGAGGGTTTGCTTTAGGTGTGTGCAGAATATGAGTGGTAATTTGTACCTTAAGGATATTATTTGCTATTTTGAAAACCAAAACAAGGCGTTAGAAGCCACTGTGAACTTTCTTATACTTGCTGGAAAATTTTATTTTCACAAACAGAGGTTTCTTAAAAAAAATCCAATCTTTATTGACTTCTTATGTGAAATAGAACATTTAATTAAATCTCTTAGATTAATTGAAAATAAGAAATGTACTTATTTCTTGAGCAAATATGATGAGATCTTTCATGCTACTTGAATATTTTTTTTTATATATATTTTTTTATTTTACTGTCTTTTTTTAAAGTTTTTTTTATGTACTGTGTTTTAGTTTTACTCTTATCTTGTGTATGTAATGTGATTGTTGTGTAAAAGAACTGTTATCTTTTACTATATTCTAAATTGTATTATACAGTTTCTTGAAGCAATAAAAAAAAAAAAAAAAAAAAAAGCTTTAGGTGTGTGCAACATGCTTTTAGCTGGCAGAGCGCACACATTTTTTTGATGACTCGAGCGAACAGTTCGTGTGGCGCCGCATTTGATTTGAGTTGAATATGAATCACTTTGAAGAGATTTTGTCTAAAACTTCTTTATGATCCATCCATCTGTGATCATAGGGATAACCAGATGACCAGTAATTCTTGCCTAGAAATTGCAACTGCCGTGGGAGCGGAAGAATGTTTTTGTTAAAAACTTAAGGTATAAGTTAATGTTAAATGTTAAAACTAAAAAGGCAAAAATGGAGATTTAGAGAGTTTTATTACAAAATTAAAGAATAT